GTACTTGCTGACTGTACAAAGTGAGACTGGGACTGGGTACCGCTGACTAAGCGAAGTTGGACTCACCACTTGCCCACTTGCCTCTGGCCTACTGCATATAGCCTTTCAGAACAGTAGCAGCTACGACCTTGACCTTTCAGGACTGTAGCAGCTACGACCTTGACCTTTCAGAACTTTAATAACTATGACCCCTATGCAGGTATGATCCCTACTTCAACAGGTCTAAGGTTCAAGCCCCGACAACTACGCAGACCTACGACAGACAACTCTCAACTACTAACACACAGGTCACGGGTTCAAGACTCACAGGGTCGACTTGATACTGTACACAGGTAAGGTAAGGTAAGGTGAGGTCTGGGGATCGAGCCCTGGGATCCGCATCTGTGTCTGCAAAAGGCGGAGCAACCTGACTGCACAACGTCAAAAACGACTGCGGGGAGCGACACAGCAAGCAGACGAGCCGCAGGGCAACAGCGCGGCGAAGCACAAGGCAGCACCAACACAGCAGCCACACTACACGGCACACAAGCAAAGAACACGGAAGGCACAGCACGCGGACGGGCAGAAAGGCATCAGTGCAGCGAAGCACAGGGCAACAATAACACGACAACCACAGCACACCACACAGTGAACACAACAGCTTTGCAAAGAACTACATGCAACACAAGCAGGACGGGCAGCGAAGCACCTGCGGAGCGCAGACAAGGTAGTCTACACATCCAGCATGGAGCAAAGCAGCACATCATCACCTACTCACATCACGATGAACCCGCGGACTGTTGGTTCCCACTATCCGCTGAGCCAGGGAGTCACCCAGACAAACATCCGTCATTACCCACAGGCAACACATACATCCCAAACCGAGCCGTCCCCCTAGGAGTGCTGTAGGCCCGGCTAACAACGGACCACCTACTGTTTAGCACTTCTTGAGGGTGCTCATAGAAAAAAATCCGGGGAAGAAGAAAACACAAGGAAATAGTCAGACATCCACAAAACTGACTTTTTTTTTTTCTTTCTTCTTTTTTTTTTTTTTTTTTTTTTTTGTGTGTGTGTGTGTCTTGTGTGTTTGATTTGTTTTGGTTCTGTTTTGTTTCTGTTTTCCAATTGGAACACAGCAGATTCGCGCAGTTTCTTGCCAACATCCGTCGACCTAGGGATAATGGGGCATGACTCCTTGTTCCAGTGCTTGCATAAGTTTCAAGGAACTTCCCATCATGCGCGCATGTTATGGTTGTGTGCATTAGATTGGAGAGATTTAGAGAGAGAGGGAGAGAGAGGGGGAGCGGGGTAGAGTCTGTGACCAGTTATTGAGAGGGGTGTACTCGCAGTAGGGCAGTTTCAACCTATATATGAACGTAATTGCGGTCAGGTGACAAGAAAGCGGTCAGATACGTCCAGAAAAGTCCCTAGTGTGAGTATGGGCCTCGCTCCAGTACTGACGAAATGTGCAAAAAGAGAGTGAATCTTCCGCTAGAACATGGACAGATACACCGCCATGATTTTTCTCTTTTGTGCATGTCGAGAGTAGTGTATCCAGGCCCTGTGCCCTGCCTGGCCCCCGACTTACTGCAGCAAAGCCACCATCTCTACTGCTGCTATGCCCCATTTCTACCCTACCAGCTGGCCCCTTCACTAGTAGGATGCGTGGTGTCTTTCTCTCACTATCCTCGATCCCTCTCTTACCTGTTACCCTGCTTGGCGGAAAAGCCATCTGAGAAAACTTACTGTTATTCGAAAGGTATGGGAATAGCCTGTCGAAGTCCTACAAATGCCCCTGAACCCGCAAGATCCCTAACACAACCTTCCAAGGTTCTCCAACACTGTCTTACTCCCTGCCGAGCTCTTCCAGGCCTCACACTCCCTCATCCTGCTGGGTTACAGGGCAACACAACTCACCCCAGCTCCGGCCAGCGTCGTCCCAGCAGCAACCCTTGGTTGTCCCGTGGAGTGCCCCCGCAAAGCACCCCCAGATCTCTCAGCCTAAGGAGAGTCTCTCCGGGTGTAGTTCTGAATTTTGCAGGTTGTTCATGAGTTGGGGCGGGAAGTTTTTTTTAAGGGTGACCGTGTTTTTTTTGTTGTTTATGGTGAGGTCTTCTTCGTTGAGGTTTTCGGTTTGTTTGTCCATTCGTGATTTAGTTTTATTTTATTATTATTTTTTTTTAATGTATATTTTTTTGGTTTTGTGTTTTTGACGAACCCCTATTATTTTTTGAGTTTTTACTTGCTCTGATGGTTTAACGGGGGAGGTGTATTTTGTGATTGGTTGGCTTGCTGTGTTAGTCTTGTGGGGCGGGGGGGGGGGGGGGGGCTGGGTTTATGGTTCGGGTTATATGTGGCACTGGTTCTTTTTTGTTCCAAGGCAGGGGGTTAGTTGGATAGGGGGTGTGTTAAGGGCCCTGATGGGGGGTTGGCTGATGTTCGTATTTTGTTTCATTATTATAGAGGTTGTGTTCATTTTATATGTATGTGTGTATGGGCTTTTGTGAGTGTGGTGTAACGAGTTTGGTGCGGTGTTTTCTGTTGGAAATATGAGCCTTGGGCACTGGGCCCTATTAAGGGGGAAAAAAAGGAGAAGGGTTAAAAAAAAAAAAAAAAGAGCAAAAAAAAAAAAAAAAGTTTGGTGCGGTGTGTGTGTTTTTCTACACGTTAAAAAATAATAATAAAAAATAAATAAATAAATAAATAAATAAATAAAATTGTGCATGTGTATGTTTTCCCTGTTTGTGCCAGTGTGTGTATTGTGTATTTTTTGTAAGTATGTATATATGTGTGTGTGTGTGTGTATGTGTTGTGTGTGTGTCCAGTTGAGAACACCTCCCTCCTTCCCCTAGATGCAACACTCTCTCATGACAACTGCATCAGACCACAAAGATATCCTTGTGCACGCCGCACACAGAGAGAGAGAGAGAGAGAGAGAGAGAGAGAGAGAGAGAGAGAGAGA